CCTCCATTTCCCAGGTTCAAGCCAGTCTCCTGCCTCAGCCTCCCGAGTAGCCTGCAATCACACCCAGCTAATTTTTTGTATTTTTAGTAGAGATGGGGTTTCACTGTGTTGGCCACGCTGGTGTTGAACTCCTGACCTCAGCTGATCCACCTGCCTCAGCCTCCCAAAGTGCTGGGATTACAGGCATGAGCCACCACAACTGGCCCTTTTTATTTATTTGTTTGTTTTATTTATTTGATTTTTTTGAGTGGGAGTCTCTATCACTTAGGCTGGAGTGCAGTATTGCAATCACAGCTCACTGTAACCTCAACTCCTGGGCTCAAGGGATCCTCCCACCCAAGTCTTCTCAATAGCTGGGACTAGCATGCTCAGCTAATTTTTTTTTCCATTGTTTTAGAGATGTGCTCTTACTATGTTGCCCAAGCTGGTCTTGAATTCTTGGCCTCCGACGATCCTCCTGCCTCAGCCTCCTGAGTTACTGGGAAAATAGCCAGGTGCTGCTGTGCCTGGCATTATTTTTCTTGTGTATTTCACTCTTCCCCCCTGGCTACACCTCATGAGAGCTGGGATTGCCTGTTTTATTCATGTCCCTGCTGAAGAGTGCCAGGCCCACAGCAGGCACTCAGTAAATCTGAGCCATTATTGGAGTCCTTGGTGTACCACAGGCTCCCTCTGACACTTTCTCTCTGAGGCAGGTTTTTATTTACTTATTTATTTATTTATTTATTTTTGAGACAGAGTTTCGCTTTTGTTATCCAGACTAGAGTGCAATGGCTCAATCTCGGCTCACCACAACCTCTGCCTCCTGGGTTCAGGCAATTCTCCTGCCTCAGCCTCCCAAGTAGCTGGAACTACAGGCATGCGCCACCATGCCCAGCTAATTTTTGTATTTTTAGTAGAGACGGGGTTTCACCATGTTGACCAGGATGGTCTCGATCTCTTGACCTCGTGATCCACCTGCCTTGGCCTCCAAAAGTGCTGAGATTATAGGCGTGAGCCACCGCGCCCGGTCGAGGCAGGTATTACTCCAGATCTTCAGTTTGGAGTGTGGTGTATTTGAGGAACAGCAGAGAATGGTGTGGTGGGAGCTTACCAGTGAGGGTACGTAGGGGAGATGAGTTCAGAGAGATCGGAGGGAAGGTTAGCCATTGCTAAATCTGGAGTTGATTTTTTTTCCTTATTTTTTTGTTTTTGAGACAGGATCTTGCTCTGTCACACTGATAGAGTGCTGGAGTGCAGTGGCGCTCTCTCTGCTCACTGTAGCCTCTAGTTCCTGAGCTCAAGCAATCCTCCCACCCCAGCCTCCTAAGTAGGTGGGACTACAAGGGCATGCTACCAGCCCAGCTAATTTTAATTTTTTGCAGAGATGGGGTCTCCCCATGTTGCTCAAGCTGGTCTTGAACTGGACACAAGCAATCTTCTTGCCTCAGCCTCCCGAAGTGCTGGGATTACAAGCATGAGCCACTGCATCTGGCCGATTTTTTCAACAACAAATAATTTTTGAGAGCGCACTTGTGCCAAGCATAGTTCTAGGCACAGACCAACACAACTCCCAGAGTTCCCAGGAGTAGGAGGCTACATAGAGTTGGGAAATAAGTAACTTGAGATTGGGTAGGTGCTACTAAAAGAAAATCAGGGGCTGGGCGCAGTGGCTCACACTTGTAATCCCAGACTTTGGGAGGCCAAGGCTGGCAGAACACCTGAGGTCAGGAGTTCGAGACTAGCCTGATCAACATGGTGAAACCCTGTCTCCACTAAAAATACAAAAATTAGGCTGGGTGCGGTGGTGCACGCCTGTAGTCCCAGCTACTTGGGAGGCTGAGGCAGGAGAATTGCTTGAACCCAGAAGGCGGAGGTTGCGGTGAGTTGAGGTCGTGCCATTTTACTCCAGTCTGGATAACAACAGCGAAACTCTGTCTCAAAAAAAAAAAAAAAAAATTAGTTGAGCATGGTGGCACACGCCCGTAATCCCAGCTACTCAGGAGGCTGAGGCAGGAGAATCGCTTGAACCTGGGAGGTGGAGGTTGCAGTGAGGCAAGGTTGCACCACTGCATTCCAGCCTGTGTGACAGAGCAAGACTCCATCTCAGAAAAAAAAAGAAAGAAAAGAAAATCAGGCCAGGTGCGATCGCTCACGCCTGTAATCCCAGCACTTTGGGAGGCTGAGGCTGGCAGATCACCTGAGGTCAGGAGTTCGAGACCAGCCTGGCCAACATGGTGAAACTCCCTCTCTTCTAAAAATACAAAAATTAGTCAGGCATGGTGGTGTGCACCAGTAATCCCAGCTACTCAGAAGGCTGAGGCTGGAGAATTGCTGGAACTGGGAGGTGGAGGCTGCAGTGAGCCAAGATCACGCCACCACACTCCAGTCTGGGTGATGGAGCAAGACTCCATCTAAAAAAAAAGAAAAAAGAAAATCAAACAGGTTGTGGTGGGGTGGTGACCCACCTGGATGTGTTGAGCTAGGAAGGGGAGGGAAGGCCTCTCTCAGAAGGAGGTATTAGGATTGGTGAAGCTATTGGGAAAAATGTCAAATGGGCAGATTTAACAGTAAGGGCAAAGGGTGAGAAGGAGCTGGGGTCAAGGGAGTTGAGTGAAGGAGAGAGTGGGAGATGGAACTGAGAAAGTTTCTAAAGTGAGAATAAGTCAGTCCTTCTAGGTCTTGGTGGAGCTGGGGTTTTATTCTGAGTGTGACAAGGAGTCACTGGAGACTGGGTGTGGAGGTTCATGCCTGTAATCCCAGCACTTTGGGAGGCTGAGACGGGAGAATCGCTTGATTCCAGGAGTTTGAGACCAGCCTGGTCAATAGAGCCAGACCCTGTCTCAAAAGAAAAAAAAAAAAAAAAAAGGGCCTGGTGCGGTGGCTCAAGCCTGTAATCCCAGCACTTTGGGAGGCCGAGGTGGGTGGATCACGAGGTCAAGAGATCGAGACCATCCTGGTCAACATGGTGAAACTCCGTCCCTACTAAAAAAAAAAAAAATAGAAAAAATTAGCTGGGCATGGTGGCGTGTGCCTGTAATTCCAGCTACTCAGGAGGCTGAGGCAGGAGAATTGCCTGAACCCAGGAGGCAGAGGTTGTGGTGAAAAGAAAAGAAAGCAACCAGGTATGATGTTTGCTGTGGGCTTTTTTTTTTTTTGAGACGGAGTTTTCACTCTTGTTACCCGGGCTGGAGTGCAATGGCGCGATCTCGGCTCACCACAACCTCCGCCTCCTGGGTTCAGGCAATTCTCCTGCCTCAGCCTCCTGAGTAGCTGGGATTACAGGCACACGCCACCATGCCCAGCTAATTTTTTGTATTTTTAGTAGAGACGGGGTTTCACCATGTTGACCAGGATGGTCTCGATCTCTTGACCTCGTGATCCACCCGCCTCGGCCTCCCAAAGTGCTGGGATTACAGGCTTGAGCCACCGCACCCGGCCCTACTTTCTTGAGATCCCCCGGGCCACCTCATTCCTCTCTCTCTGGATTGGCACCCCCGTTCAGGTTATCCCTTCACTTTCTGACAATGACCGCTTCAGGTTGAGAAATCTGGCTTTGACCCAGAAACCACAAGCAAAATCCCCGTCCTTTCTCCGCCTATGGACTATACCCAGGTGTGGTTCCTCCTTGCAACGCCTCCGGAAAAGTCCCTAATGCTGTGTGAGCTTACTCGCTTCATGTCTTCAAAGACCACTGTAAAAGCATAGCCAGTACAGGTAGGTATCACATTATTGCTTCCTTCACCTCCTTTCTCCTTTTCTGTATCTCAGCAGCCTGGGCCTGCACCTCCCAAATAAAGCATTAGCACAGGCCAGGCACAGTGGCACATGCCTTGTAATCCCAGCACTTTGGGAGGACAAGGCAAGCAGGTCATTTGAGGTCAGAAGTTTTGAGATCAGCCTGGCCAACATGGTCAAACTGTCTCTACTTAAAAAAATTCAGGCCAGGCGCAGTGGCTCACGCCTGTAATTCCAGCACTTTGGGAGGCTGAGGCAGGCAGATCACGAGGTCAGGATTTTGAGACCAGCCTGGCCAACATGGTGAAAACCCATCTCTACCAAAACCACAAAATTAGCCAGGCATGGCAGCACACACCTGTAATCCTGGCTACTCAGGATGCTGAAGCAGAATTGCTTGAACCCAGGAGGCGGAGGTTGCAATGAGCTGAGATTGCACCACTGCACTCCAGCCTGGGTGACAAGAGTGAGACTCTGTCTCGAAAAAAAAAAAAAGCATTATTAGCACCATAACTCTAATCTGGGCTCTGCTTCCTAGCCAACTCTCCTAAAAACGTCTTTTAGTACATGGGTCTTTGGGCATTTCTTGTCCCTCTGGGCCTTAGCAGCCCATTCAGTGACACATACTCCATGTAACTCAGTTTCTCCCTCCCATGCCCACCCACAGGGCTGGTAAGTCTAAGCAGCAACATTTGTAAGTGAAGGACAAGGCTCTGGAGGCTTAGTTTCAGCCTAGCTCCCTGGTCATTGCTCTTCCTAGCTGTGCGGCCCTGAATTATGTGACTTGGCCTCTCTGAACTTCAGGTTCCTCCTGTATGAAAAGTGGGAATAGTACCTACTTCCAGGTAATTATGATTATTAAAGGACTTAATTCAAATAAAGTGGCTAGAACAGTGCTCTTAACAAGCACTTATTTTTCTGAGGCTGGAGTGCAAGTGTTGCGATCATGGCTTATTGCAGCCTCAGCCTCCCCAGTCCAGTAATTAGGACTACAGGTGCGTGCCACCGTACCAAGGTACTTTTTTGTATTTTCTGTAGAGGCGAGGTTTCACCATATTGCCCAGGCTGGCCTCGAATTCCTGGCCTCAAGCGCATCCTCCCACTTTGGCCACCCAAAGTGCTAGGATTACAAGTGGGAACTAGAGCACCCAGCCAACAAGCACTCAATGTCATGTGCAGTGGTACACCTGCCCCAACTATGCAGGGAAGTGGGGCAGATGTTTAGGAACTTACTAGGTCCCTCCCACTGACCCAGTGAAGTGTAGAAACTTAAGACAACATCACTCCTTCCAAAATACTTTTATTAAAAAAATTACAAACAATAAAAATAACCCACCACAAATTCTGCCTTTCTTTTTAAATAACGTGGCATGGAGCAGTTTGGTTTCCACCCTATTGCACGTGGTCCGGCCAGGCTCTGAAATCAGGAGGCTACTGAGACTGGGGTCCTGCCAAGAAAGTAGGGTTCAGCCTGGAGGGAGGAGACCAGCCCCTCCCACCCCTCAAGGTGCAAGAGGCCGAGCCTGGGTTTCTACAGCGTCCGGGCAGCACATCCCTGCCATCCTTCTACAGGCCCAGCTTTATCTTCCCTGAGGCCCCAGTGGTCACAGGGGAGCGGGAACGAGCGGGAAAGGCGGAAGAAATGTGTAAGTGGAAAATCAGACTCCCAGGAAGAGTCTCATTAAGGCATTTGGAACAGATAAATTAACTCAAGAAGACCCACCTTCACAGAAGGCCGGGGTAACCAGACACACACACACACACACACACACACACACACACACGCAAGACAGTTTGTAGAACCCTGAAATGGGAGGAAAGGAGGCCATAGTCAATGCTTAGAGCCCCCACAAAAACACACCCAGAGTTGCATTCAAGGATCCAGGCCCCCTGAAGATGACACAGGAAGGATCCCCTGCATCACAGTTTTAGGATCCCAGGATGATTTCCATGATGTGATCCAGTTCATTCCACTCCCAGGAACCTGGGGCACAGAAGAGATTGTGAGGAGGCTCCGGTGGGGCCCGTGCAGGCTCCTTTTCCACCACAGATGTATCAATGTCCAGAAAGAAGTCGTCCAGACCAGAGTCCCCCAAGTACCGGGAGCTTAGAGCTTCTAAGAAGACTGGATCAGGCTGGGGTGGCACTTCATTCTGGAGGCTCAAGGGAGCCACTGGATTCTGAGGAGGCTCAGTTTCATCCATGGAGGTCTCCAGTTCCCTGAGGATAGAGCCAATGGTGGCCGACAGGGAGAAATCCTCCTCACCCAGGAAGAGGGGCTCAGGGGGCAGGGCAGGGGCAGGAGCCAGGGGAAGTGCGGCCTGCAGTTGCTGGAGGGTGTTGTGGATGAGGACATGCCTGCGGAGGCTGGGTGCTCGGGGGCCCAGGCTGTGCTGGACTTTCTCTAGGGAGATGCGGAGCAGGGCTTGCTGGTAGTTCCGAAGGCCTGCTGAACTCCACTCCCACCTCTCCTCCTCCTCCTCCTCTAAATCAGAGTGTTTCCGCTTCAAGCCTCCCACCATGATGCCCTGTGGAGAGAAGAGGGGCATAGGAGCATGTCAGACACCAGGCACTGTACTGCTGGCTCAAATCCCACTTTCTCAGGCCAACTGAATTGTTGGTGATTTTTAATCATCTGAATCTCAGTTTAATCATCTATAAAATGAAGGCTGTCTGAATCCTACAAGGTTAAGGAGGTGAATACATATAGGATCAAGAAAATAAGGGCTGGGCAGGTGGCTCACGCCTGTAATCCTGGCAATTTGGGAGGCCAAGGTGGGTGGATCACTTGAGGTCAGGAGACCAGGCTGACCAACATGGAGAAACGCCATCTCTACTAAAAATACCAAATTAGCAGGGTGTGGTGGTGTGTGCCTGTAATCCCATCTACTCAGGAGGTCGAGGTAGGAGAATCGCTTGAACCCTGGAGCCAGAGGTTGTATAGTTAGCCAGGATCGAACCATTGTACCATTGTACTCCAGCCTGGGCAACAAGAGCAAAACTCTAGCTCAAAAATAAATAAGTAAATAAATGAAAATAAGATCTGGACTTAAGTACAGCTGGATTTAAATCCTACTTACTTGCCTGTTGTGGTCTCAAACAGGAGTGCATTTACATCCATGGGGATTTCCTCATCTGCAAAATAAGGATCCTAACTCAAGTTCCTCTAAGCCTTAAAACCGTTCTTCCACAGTACTCATTTCTTCAAACATGGAGCACGCAAGATAAGTGTGGAGCAAATGAGACCTGAATTAGAAGTAGGGAACCCCAAATTTTCTGTCTTGGAAACCGCTCAGCTGCGTGATTGTGGTAAGTGACCTGAGTGAATTTCCTCTTAGGGCCTCAGTTTCCTTATCTGTAAAACGGGGACCTTAAAAAAATACTTCTCACCACCGCTGTCAAGGAGATGAAAAGTATGCATAGGGCCCATCACACAGGAACTGCTTAATAAACAAGAGTTCTGTTTGTTTTGTTAGAGACAGGTCTAACCCGGGGCTGAGTGCAGCTGCGCGATCATAGCTCACGGCAGTCTCCAAGTCCGGAGTTCAAGGGATCCTCTCGCCTCAGTTTCCTGAGTAGCTGGGATTACCACCACACCCGGTCTCGATCAAGAGTTAATTGCCAATTATTCACCCAACAGATTTACCGAGTGCCTACTATATTCGAGCCTCCTGGAGCCCTCTTGGGGCACCTGTATGTTGTGATTCTTCTTCTACAGTCAGGATATTTCTGTCTATGCCCTCTTCCTTAACCGACGGGGAGCGCTCCCAAGAGTAGGAAAGGGGCCCTGCCTCATTCCCGCTGCTGCGCTTTCAGCTTCCCCCAAAGCGCGCCCCATAGGAAAACTTGCTAGAACTCAGCTCAGACCAAGCCCCGCCCCCAGGGGACCCACCCAATCAGGCCTCGGTGCTGCAAGGCCCCGCCCCTTCACGGGTCCTTAGAGACTCCAGAAACGCCCCAATTTGGCCCAAGGTCTTCTGGGAAACGGGGGCCAACAGCCTCCAGGTACACGAATTGACGTCGGGCACGCACCACAATCCCCAGGGGGCTCCGCTCCTCCAGGGGACGAACCCACTCCCCCGCCCTCCCTCAGGGCATGCGCACAGGGGCAAGGGCGGGTGGGGGAAGGGCACCCGGACGTCCAGCTGCCGGCGGCCGCCGAGCCCCGCCCTCCGTTGCCTCCCGGGCGGTGAGTCTGAGCTCCACGCCCGGAACACCCCTCCCCCACCCCAGACTCCGGCTCTAAATCTGCCTTCTCCTGGTGCCTCCGTTCCTTCAAAGTCCGGGATTCTCGTCCCGAGACCCAAGTCCGAACACACCGCTCAATGACTACAATGCTACGATCTAGTTCGGGAGACTACGTATCCTAATTTTGATACTTCCACTTCTATTCTCCTGACTTTCAAACGCCCCTGGACTTCTCCAAACTCGCTGTCCGGCTCCAAGACCCGAACATTGAAATCTTTCCGGCAACCCCCTTTCTTTCCCCCACCAGTGCGTCTTGGAGTCCAAGAATCCTTGACTCTATCTCGCTTCTCCAAATGCTCAGGATCTCACTCTCAAACCTCTCATACCTTTTCCAAGAACACGATAACGCCCCGAATTCATCCTGTCCCGAAGACCCAAGTGGAATCGAATCTCCAGGTTCCCCATCTCAAAAGTTCCTCCCCTCTGTTCTCTCGCTTCTTCAAACGCCCCACGTCCCAGTTTCGAACTCCCTCCAATTGAAAATACTGCCCCAACCTTGCCTCCCCTCCGGGGTCTCGAACTCTGTCTCGGGTCCCCAGACCCTCCCTATTAACACCCTGAATCTGAGACCCCCCCACCCCGGTCTCACCCAGACCCCGCCTCCGCAGATCTCCGGGGCGCGCCTCTCCCTCCTCCAGCCCAAGGTAGATTCCCAAGCCAGGCTATCGCTCTTCACCTCAGCTACCAGGTTCTCCACGACCACCTTCAGGAACGCCAGCAGCGTCGCGACCAGCCAGTGCCGGGACCCACCAGTGACGGGCTGGGACCTCGCTCACCGCGGCGGGACCTCTCCGTCTGGCCTCGGGCCCACCCATTCCTGCCCCGTAGCCGAGCCGCGATTGGCTGGAGGCCTGCCCGCCGCGGGGCGTCGATTGGCTGGGCGGAGCCACCGGCCCTGGCCCGGAGACGCCGGACCCGCCTACCCCTTCCTAGCGCCCTGAGCCATTTAAAGAAGTGCTACTGGCAGGGGGCGGGGCACCGCCTCGGGGGTGGAGGGCGGTGGAGCCAGCAGAACCGCTTCCTTTCACTCAGCTACCGTCTTTGCTCCAAGAGCGTCACCATTGCTTCCTGTGGTCCCTTTTTGATACGTCTGGACCCCTCCGCGGAGCCACAGAGGCTGATATGATCCTCCCTACCCTGCTGTCCAGGAGGGCGGGGTCGAGCAGCCGTAGGAGGCCGTGCCCCGGGGGTTCCGAGGGCGGACGCTGGGGCGCGGGGGATGACGTAGCAAAAGACCAGCCAATAGTGTGGTGTGGCCGTGTTGCCTAGGTGACCGGAGTCCCGCCCCCTTACTGCCCTTCTCTTGTTTCCCCCCGCGCCTCACGTTACTCCTCAGTCCCTTCTAAATCCCCTGGTTTTCTCAGCACCTCCTCTGGTGGTCCCTTCTGGGACACCCTCTCTCCTTCCCCGCCCCATCAAGATGACGACTCCGCTTCTGTTCATGGCTTCCTACCGCCCCGAAGACAAACTTCAAACTTCTTCCTTTTGCCACAAAGCCCCTAACGACCTGGCCTGATGCGCTCTCCTGGTTCTTTCCGATCCTACCCCACTGAGTCACTTCGTTTTTCTAAAATGGCTTCAAGCTCCCCTTCCCCCATCACGAAAACGTAAGGATTTTGCATGTTTTCTTCCCAGCCTTAACAAGTGTCTCCAACAATGCCAGGCACGCAATAACTTCTCAAAAATGACAACAAAAGGCTTCTAAATCTTTATTATTAATAATATATATGTATATTTTGTCGGGTGTGGTGGCTCACACCTGTAATCCCAGCACTTGGGAGGCCGAGGCGGGCGGATCACCTGAGGTCGGGAGTTCGAGACCAGACTGACCAACAATGTTGAAACTCTGTCTCTACTAAAAATACAAAAATTAGCTGGCCGTGGTGGCGCACGCTTGTAATCTTAGCCACTTGGGAGGCTGAGGCAGAAGAGTAGCTTGAACCCGGGAGGTGGAGATTGCGATGAGCCGAGATTGCGCCACTGCACTCCAGTCTGGGTGACAGAGCGAGACTGGGTGACAGCCTGACAAACATGGAGAAACTCCGTCTCTACTAAAAATACAAAATTAACCAGGTGTGATGGTACATGCCTGTAATCCCAGCTACTCTGGAGGCTGAGGCAGAAGAATCACTTGAATCCTGGAGGCAGAGACTGTAGTCAGCTGAGATTGCACCATTGCACTCCAGCCTGGGCAACAAGAGTGAAACTCCATCTCAAAAAAAAAAATACACACACACGTTTCCTGTGTTGCCCAGGTTGACTTGAAGTCCTGGCCTCAAGCAGTCCTCTCACCTCAGCCTCCCAAAGTGTTGAAATTACAGGCGTGAGCCACCACACCGCGAAGGCCTCTGGATATTTAAACTTGTTTCTCCATCCTGAAAATATGCCCTCAGTTCCCAGGTTGCTTCTTATCAGAACTCATCTCAAAGGTTTCCTCCTCTCAGAAGCCCTCCCTGGCAGTCCAGGTTGGGTCAGGATCCATTTTAGGATCTCATGGCCTCCTGTGCTGCCATCCCAGTCCTGGACTGTCAGTCACTATCTGGACTGAGGAACCTCCCAAGGGCAGGTGCCGAGGATATCTCTGTCAACCACCGCTTGGTCTGCAGGAGCACCTAGCACCGGGCTGGACATAGAACAGGTCCCAGTGAAAGTTTGCTAAATGCTCAGCAATGTGACAGAAAGAGAAATAAGACAGAAAGAAAACACTGCTAGTGCCCTACCCCACCACGAGTTTCCTTAAGGGGAGAAGGCAGTTTTCTCTGGGCTACCTCTGGGAAGAGAGGTTTAAGGCTCCTCAGTCAGACCAGTTCTTGCTGGTTGGAGTTTGTCAGCCAAGTCATTCTGCAGTTTGCAATGTAAGACTAAAGGATTTCTGGGAGGATGAGGGGGAGGGGAATAAGTAGGTGGGTGGTGTGGGTTAGAGGTAGGGAGAGAAAAGCTTCTCAGCTCACCCAGGCCTGGGGGAGGTGTCCCTGGAAACAAAAGAAAGGGACAGTAGATTCCAAAAATAGGACATAATTAGAAAGGAGCAATTCTAATTGCCCTTTCTCCTCCCAAACTTGCTCCTCCTGTAGGGTCCCCAACTCAGGAAAGCTCTACTGCATTTGGGTTTTTGTTTCTGAGAGGGGGTCCCACTCTGCCGTGTCTGCTGGAGTGCAGTGGTGTACCTCGGCTCACTGCAGCCTCAGCCTCCCTCCCCAAAGTGCTACTGTAATTGTCCCCAGGTTACAGCTGTGAGCTTCTTCCTGATGCCTTGCCTCCACCCCTCAACAACTGTCCACTCAGACTCCCAGGCATTCCCCCCACCCTCTCTCTCCCCGCCTCCTTATGGCTCAGGCTCCAACTCAAACTCCCCCTGGGCTCTCAGCCTCCATTCCTGTGCCCTTCCCATCTGCCTTCACAGAGTAGCCAAAGGAAGCTTCATAAAACCCACACCCAACTGTCCCCACAACACCCTTACCTCTCTGGCGCTCCACTCCTTGCATAAATCCTCAAAATAAAGCACAAACGTTTTTTATTTTCAGAGACAGGGTCTTGATCTGTCCTATAGTTGGAATGCATTGGCTAGCCTTGACCTCGAGGCCTCAAGCTATCCTTCCATCACAGCCTCCTGAGTATCTGGGACTACAGGTGCACACCACCATGCCCAGCTATGTTTTTAAAAATAGTTTTGTAGATATGGGGTCTTGCTATGTTGTCCAATCTGGACTCCTGGCTTCAAGCCATCTCACCTCAGCCTCCTGAGTATCTGGAATGACAAGTGCACACCACCATGCCCAGCTAAGTTATTATTTTTTTGAGATGAAGTCTTGCTCTGTCACCCAGCCTGGAGTGCAGTGGCCTGATCTCGGCTCACTGCAACCTCCACCTCCTGGGTTCAAGCAATTCTCCTGCCTCAGCCTCCCAAGTCGCTGGGATTACAGGTGCATGTCACCACACCTGGCTAATTTTTTTTTTTTGAGGTGAAGTCTCCCTCTGTTACCCAGGCTGGAGTGCAATGGTGTGGTCTTGGCTCACTGCAACCTCCACCTCCTGGATTCAAGCAATTCTCCTGCTTCAGCCTCCCCAGTAGCTGGGATTATAGGTGCCCACCACCACGCTTGGCTAATTTTTGTATTTTTAGTAGAGATGGGGTTTCACCATGTTGGCCAGGCTGGTCTTGAACTTCTGACCTCAAGTGGCCTACTTGCCTCAGCCTCCCAAAGTGCTGGGATTCCAGGCATGAGCCACCACACCTGAATAAACTGCTATTGAATAAATGAATGAAAATCTTACACATAGGCAGGCAGACACACTGAAATACTCAGACAGAGGCAGAGAGAGGAGGAGTCACAGAGTTGGGTTCTCTAGAATAATTTGAAGCTCTTGGCTCAACATTTATTGCTTGGCTTAACATTTATTGCCTCCTTCCTTTGCTCCTCATGTCCCAGAATGCCACCTTCCCAGATGGGGACTGAGTGCTACTGGTACTGGTGGGAGGGGTAGGTGCTGTGCCCGTCGTACTCATTGGTGGTGAGGCAGTGCAGCATGAAGTGGCCCAGGTCATGTTTGGAGATGACCCTCGAGGGCCCTCGTCCATCTAGGGTCACCGTGTACGCCCCAGTTAGCGGCTGGTCTCCTGTGAAGTAATAAGACAGGCTGGGTGAAGCAGACATCTTTCCCCTCCTGCAAAATTCGACCCCCAGAAAGACCTTCCCAGGGTGCCTACTGTGTGCCCAGCCTGGGTGGCATGACAGCCAAGAATGGGCTTCCCATATGCAGGTGCTCATCTGTACCCTTTGCTTTATTCATTGGAGAATCCTTATTGATTACCTGTTATGTGGCTAGGTTCTGGGCACCCAGCAAGGGACAAAGCAGACAGAAATCCCCTGCCCTGGCTGGGCACTGTGCCTCATGCCTGTAATCTCAGCACTTTGGGAGGCCAAGGTGGGAGGATCACTTGAGCTCATGAGTTTGAGACCAGCCAACATGGCAAAACCACATCTCTACAAAAAATGCAAAAATTAGCTGGGCGTGGTGCTTATATCTATCTGTAGTCCCAGCCACTTGGGCAACTGAGGCAGGAGAATCACTTGAACCCGGGGGGTGGAGGTTGCAGTGAGCCAAGATTGTGCCACTGCATTCCAGCCTGATGAGGGAGACCATGTCTCTCTCGCTCCTGGGTTCAAGTGATTCTCTGACCTCAGCCTCCTGAGTAACTGGAATTACAGGTACACGCCACCATGCCTGGCTAATTTTTTTTGTATTTTTAGTAGAGACAGGTTTTTGCCATGTTGGCCAGGGTGGTCTCAAACTTCTGGTCTTAAGCAAGCCACCCTCCTCAGCCTCCCAAAGTGCTGAGATTATAAGCATGAGCCACCACACCCAGCCTCTGAGTATTAACTTTAAACTTGGGAGATGAAGGACCATGTGGCCAGGAGCGGTGGCTCATGCTGGTAATCCCAGGAACACATACCCTCACCCATGTGGCATTCCTGCCCAACATGTTTATTCTGAATTTATGGCAAGACCCCTAGAAAATCCAGAATGTGGGCCAATGAAAGTCACCTGGCCATTTAATGTGAGAAATTTGAAGAAAAAGGCTTGAGAGATGGTTCCAGATTTAAGGTGACATGGCAACTAAATTTGATACACAAGCTTCAGCTGGATCCTCCTGAGGGGGGCAGGGCAGGTTGAAAAGTTTTTGTTTTGTTTTGTTTTAAACACAAAGCCTTGCCTTGTCACCCAGGCTGGAGTGCAGTGGCACAGTCTTGGCTCACTGCAACCTCCACCTCCCAGGTTCAAGCAACTCTTGTGCCTTAGCCTCCGGAGTAGTTGGGATTACAGGTGCCCACCACCATGCCCAGCTGATGTTCATATTTTTCAAAGAGAGGGGGGTCGGGGCGGTGGGGGGGCTCACCATGTTGGCCAGGCTGGTCTCGAACTCCTTCCCTCAAGTGATCTGCCCACCTCAGTCTGCTAAGTGCTGGGATTCCAGATGTGAGCTACCTCGTGGCCCGACAATTGGGGAAATTTGACTATGAAGTAGATACTAAATGATATAGAGTAAATGTCACTTCCCTTAGGTGTGATAATGTTTTGTGAGCAAATATCTTCCTTTTGGGAGATGCCTGTCGAGGTTAGGAA